TGGCTCCTCCGTGGGCTCCTCCGGCGGCGGCTCTGTCTGCGGTGGGGGCTCCTCCGGCGGCGGCGGCGGCTCTGGCTACTACTCCTCGCAGCAGACCACCCAGACCTCGTGCGCACCCCAACAGAGCTGCGGAGTGGGGTCCTCCGGCGGCGGCTCCTCTGGGGGTGAAGGCGGCTGCTTCTACAGCGGTGGGGGCGGCGGCGGCGGCGGGGGCGTCTGCGGCGGTGGCTACAGCGGAGGCAGCTCTGGGGGCGGCTCTGTCTGCGGAGGTGGCTCCTCCGGCGGCGGCGGCGGCTCCGGCTATAGCACTGGCTCCTCCGGGGGTGGCTCCGGGAGTGGCAAGGGCGTCCCGGTCTGCCACCAGACCCAGCAGAAGCAAGCGCCTACTTGGCCATGCAAATAAGTCCCCAGGGATGCCGCGGAGACGAAGGAGTTGGAGATGTTCTCCGTTGGGCTTAGCGCTCTCATGATATTGCCCAAGGTTTGCAAATCCTTCACGTTTTAACCTACCTAGAAAAAGCCACTGAGTTCTCAGGCTGCATCTTGTTCTGCAGTTTTCCTCCTTGGTTTCTGTACAACTACCTCCCAACCCCAATGCCTCCTCGGTCAATAAATCTGCAATTCATGAGAATCTCTGGGTCTCCAGGTGTCTTTGTAGCTTCCACATTCGTCCATTCTATTTCATTTTTCTCCTTTCCTCGTTTCATTCATCCATACTCATATCCATTCAACAAATATTCTTTTGAGGGGAGGGTGAATGAATAGATGGGAGTCAGCAAGGGAAGGAGGAAAGGCTGGCAGACGATGACCAAAGATGTGAGCACTCTGGCTTATGGCTGAAAATCATGAGTGATCCAAAACACAAAGATCCTGCGAAGCGACGTCAATAGACAGCCCACAGTGGGTTGGGTAGCCACAGTGGGTCTCCTCTGAGCTCAGTGCTTTTTTAAAACAGGCTGTCCTGGAAAGATGCCGTCTGTCGTTGTGAAGAGCCTGCTCTGCAGGGTCTGAGAGCAGGGTGGCTGCACATTAGTAGCACTAGCTTATGCTACCCAGACTCACAGAAGAAAGAACAATTATATCAGATATTTATGAGCCTCTACAATGTGTAAGACACCTTACTGGCACTAGTAGGGACAGGAGGAAGTGGGGGAGCTGTTTCTGGCTCTCTTGAAGAAGCTTCACGCAACTTAGGAAGATACAGCATAAATGCATGAAGTGTTGAACATCAGTACAAGAGAGGTCGTGGGAAAATACAGGAAGCTTTCCAATTAGCAAGAAAGAAGCTACAGTTACTTCAAGGGATGTTAGTTACACAGCCCTCAAAAGAGGTATAGAACATAAGTCTGGCCAGGTTCTGTTTCATATCCTGATTTTACCAGCTCTACATAAACGCCAATTTATTGACCTACTCAAAGCCAAACTCTTGCTAAAGCAAGGTACCCTTCCTACCTAGTCACTGCCAGAAACAAAAAGACAAGTTACCCCTCCCCAACTCTTCCATTCATAGTTACCACCACCTTCATCATTTTCCATCAGTAACTTATAGAGACCTAAACAGATAGCAGCCGTAAAGTCCAGTAGTCCAACCTGCATTATTTTTATGTTTTTTAACAAATAAAAGTTAGACTTTCAGTTCTGGACAAGATGGAGTAGATGCATTTCTTCTCATGGCTCCTATTAAGAAGAACAAAAATCTCTGGACACAATATATAAAACAAACAGAGGAAAACTTTGAAAGGTGGAGAGAAGAAGGCAGTGTAGCTAGAGTTCTAAAGGACTGACACAGTGGCAAATTCCCTGGCTTTTCTTTTTGTCTTCTGTGTAACCCACACTTGGCGCTAGAAAGTCTGCAACCAAATAATGTTGACAGGTGCAGACAAAAAATAGTCCCAAGAAAATCTTTCTTTATCTGAAGGACCAGGAAGGGGTGGCCTAGCAAGATAAAAAATCTTTTTGATGATATACGCTCTACTTCAGCCAAACACCATGGAAAAAGATGAATAGGAATTCTGGATTTCCACCATAGTGAGTGAGAAAAGACTTAGTCAATAGATACCATCAGTGAAATGACACAGATTTGGGGATTATCTGTCAGGGATTTTAAAGAAGCCATTATAAAAATGCTTTAATAAGAAATACAAACACACCTGAGACAAATGAAAAAAACGAAGTCTCAGAAAATAAATAAAAGATATAATGAAGAACCAAGTGGAAATTCACTGTACAACTGAGTATGAGAACTTAAATACAAAAACCCATGAAAGGGCTCAAGAACAGAACAGAGATGACAGGGAAAGAATAAATGAATTCAAAATTAGATTGGTAGAAATTAACCAATCTCAACAACAGAGAAAATGACTGGGAAAAAACACAAAACCTCAAGAGCCTGCAGGACAAAAAAAAAAGAACTAGCATTCATGTCATCAGAGTCCAAGAAGAATAGGAGAAAAGGTGTGGAACTAAAAAATATTAGAAGAAATAGTGGTTCAAAATTACCTAAATCTGATGGAAGTGATAAACCTACAGATTCAAGAAGATGAGTGAACCATGAACCCAAAGAAATCCACACCAAGAAATATCATAATCAAACTAATCTAAAGACATAATCAACTAAATCTAAAACAAAGAAAAAGGTCTTGAAAGCAGGCAGAAAGAAAAAATGACACATCACCTATAGGAGAACTTTGATTTTAATGACAGCAGATTTCTTGATGGAAGCTATAAAGGCTAGGAAGAAGTGGCACCACATTTTTCAAGTGACACAAGAGAACTGTCAACCCAGAATTCTATATCCAGTAAAAGTATCCTTCAGTAATAAGGGTAAAACAAAGACAGTTTTATATGTAAGAAAACTAAACAAAAAAAATTGTTGCCAAGATATCCAACCTAAAAGAATGGCGAACAGAAGTACTTTAAACAAAAAAGAAATGATAAAAGAAGCCAACTTGGAGCACCAAAAATAAAGAAAGAACAATATGAAGTGTAAAATTATGGGTAAATACAGGACAGTATTCTTTTCCTCCTGAATATTTTTTAGAATTATGTTTGATAGAAACTTTTGTGGCACCAGCACCAGGGTTGAATCTAAGGCCCAGAGGGAAGTGCACACAGCCCAGCAGCCACCAAGGTGAGCAGAGACCAGACCCTTTTAGCACCAGGTGCAGCCCAAGACCCCAGGGGGGGAAGGGAAGCACACACAGCCCAGCAGCCACCAAGGTAAGCCAAGACCAGACCCCTGTGGCACCAGGGTCCTGTCTAAGGCCCTGGGGGGGGAAGAGAGGCCCACATAGCCCAGCAGCTGCCAAGTTGAGCTGAGACCTGCACAGCACCAGGGGTTCAGTCTACAGCCATGGAAAGCTAGAACAGGAGCCAAGACGGTGTAATATAGATACTGCCACACCTTCTGCCATCACAAGGACAGTTCACCACCACAGTAGCAGCCAGGGCCACTCTATAGGCAACCTGCCACTTACTTGACTACATTGATATAAGAAGAGTCACCAGTAGAGCCTGCAAATAGAGGTGGAAGTCATCCTCATAGCCAACCCCAGAGTAACAGAAGAAGCAAGTCCACTACCAGACAACCAAACATCAATAAAAAAAAATACTAGAACTACAAACAAACAAGAAGATATGACACCACCAAAGGAATACAGTAATGCCAAATTCCAGACCCCGTAGAACAGGGAATCTTTGAAATGTCCAAAAAAGAATTCTGAGCAATGATTTTAAGAAAACTTGAAGAAATAAAAGTAGACTCAATTCGAAAACACAAGGAAACAAGAAAAAATATCCAGAATGTGAAGGAGGAAATTTACAAAGAGATTAATACCTTTAAAAAGAATGTAGTGGAACTCCTAGAAATGAAAGATTCACTTATTGAAATAAAAAACACAACAGAGAGCTTAAGCAGCAGGCTAGAGCAAGCAGAAGAAAGAATTTCAGATCTCAAAGATGGTCTCCTCGAAATAACCAAAAAAAGGAAAAAAGAATATAAAATAATGAGGAATATCTAAGAGAGATAGCAGACAGCCTCAAGCACTCTAACATCTGAATTGTGGGTATTCCAGAATGGGAGGAGAAAGGAAAAGGTATTGAAAACCTATTCAAGGAAATAATAACACAAAACTTCCCAGGGGTAGGAAGAGATACAGACCTTCAGATCCAGGAAGCTCAGAGGTCCCCAAACAGATTCAATCCAAAAAGATCCTCTCCAAGACGCGTTATAGTCAAATTTTCAAAGTTCAAAGACAAAGCAGCAAGAGAAAAGCATCAAGTCATCTACAAGGGAACCCCTATCAGGCTAACAGCAGACTTCTCAACTGAAACCCCACACGTGAGAAGAAAGTGGGATGGTATATTCAAAATACTAAAAGAAAAAAATTGCCAGCCAAGAATTAATTATCCAGCAAGGCTCTCCTTCAGAAATGAGGGAGAAATAGTGTATTTCCCAGACAAACAAAAATTGTGGGAGTTCACCACCACATGGCCAGCCCTGCAAGAAATTCTCAAGTGAGTCCTTCATCTGGAATCTGAATAATGAATGTCACTATCACAGATACACAAGAAAGAGCAAAACCTGGTGTTAAAACAAAAATGCCAGTGAGAAGGAGCAAGAAGCTAAATCATGCCACCTCAAATATCCAACTAACATTGAAGAAGAGAAATAAAAGGGGAAGGAAGATTCAAAAGATACTTAAAACATCTAAACAAAAAGCTATTAAGTGACAGGAATTACACAATATGTGTCAATAACCACCCTAAATATGAATGGATTAAGCTCCCCATTCAAAAGACACAGATTGACTGGCTGTATTAAAAAGCTAGACCCAAGTATATGCTGTCTTCAAGAGACCAATCTCACCTATACAGACACACACAGACTAAAAGTGAAGGGATGGAAAAAGATATACCATGCAAATGGAAACCAAAAATGATCAGGAATAGCTATTTTTATAGTGGATAAAATAGAGTTTAAACCAAAAAAACATAAAAAAGAGCCAAAGATGGCCAATATATAATGATGAAAGGATCTATCCAGCTAGAAGACATAACAATCATAAATATATATGCACCCAAAACTGGAACACCCAGATATACAAAGCAAACAGTCTTAGACCTAAAGAAATAAATAGGCCCTAATATGTTAATAGTGGGTGACCTGAACACCTGCTCTCAATATGAGACAGATCTGCCAGGCAACAAATCAACACAGAGACACAGGATTTAAAGTACACGTTAGACCAACTGGACCTGGCAGATATATACAGAACATTTCACCCAAAAACTAAGGATTATGCTTTCTTCTCATCAGCTCATGGAACATTCTCCAGGATAGGCCACATATTAGGTTACAAATCTAGCCTCAGCAAATTTTAAAAATTAAAATCATTCCAAGTA